TACAAACTCTGTCTCCTCTTACTGTTGTGTGCTTCTGCAACTGGATATAACTCAGTGGAGAAACAGAGCCAACTAAGTGTTATGTCATGTCGCTGCTCCAAGGTTACATTGGAAATCGGTGGCAGATACTTTAGATGTTTACTTTAAATAGAGCCACCGTAATTCTCCCCATAGGCAACTGCATGTGTAATGGCAAAAGCTGGATTTGAATATCACTTCCCCTGGCATTAAATCAGAGACAGAAATGTAAGCCAATGGGAACTACATCCCTGATACTGATGCCTTTGGAAGTCTCCTACTCACCTATCAGATTCTGGGGTGATTAAGGAGAAGGGCATGTAATACCCTGAAGCTCTACTTGTTTTCGTAAACAACTCGTGAAGTTCATGTGCAGTTCATCTCTTTTTATAACTCCTATCTAGACAGCCATGTTTTTGGCAATTTTCTATTTTCCGACTGCCAGGCATATTTCTGCACTATAGCACCTGCTCTCTTCTAGTTTTGATTCTGAAGCACTGGTGACATGTGTCACCAGACACTTATTCTATCTCTCAACTGGAGCTTCAGGCATGGATACTTTTGGTTGAAAGAAATATCTCCGAGCCTGGAGAAAATGGTCATTCTAACACAATGGGAATTTTTCAGTAGCAGTAAAAGAGAATATCTCTAAAGGGATTTTGTCAGGGCGTCCAGGGCCAGCTCTAAACAGGAAATAAATTTAATTGAATTTTTCTGGTAGCATTAATGGACAAAATGTACCTATTCCCTAAATTACATAAAAAATTCATTGGAGATAGTGCCAATTTCCACAAGTGTAAAAATATCATAATTAGATCTACAGAAGCAGGATCTTTTCCTTTTGAAAGAACACAGAATAAAGCCCCTGGGAACATAGGAAACAGAAATTTAATATTTCAGGGAAGTGCTAAATTAAGGCAATCTTATGGTTGAAATTCAATGACGTTTTCCCCCCCGAACATTAATATTTCACCAGAATATTCCAAAACAGGCACTGTGAACCTGCTAAATGAGATTTCAGCTGATAGGTAACTTGGCATATCCATCTCTTTGCCACATGCAAACAAAATCTATATTCTTCTTACAATTTCTCTTCAGAACTCCAAGCTGTGCAGCAGGCAGAGTCAGTGAATCAGCAGTGTTCTGTCTCTGTCCTGCCTGATTCCAATGCAGTCCTGCTAGAGGATGCTGATGTATTCAGCTGCATTTTCTCACTCACCTATGAGATGATCTTTTCCCACCAGGCCAGTTACTGAGTGGGGAGAATCTGCTTCCTTCCTTGGCAAGTATAATTACTGCATTTCGTAATACCAAGTAATTTCAATTTAGCAAGACAGAGAACACTTATTTCTTTGGCTAGATCTTATCTTCTGGCTATGGATAAATGTCCATACTCATTATATTAGCTTTCTCAGCATCTTTTAAAGTTGTGCAATATCTGGTGTGGAACAGATCAGCAGCTCAAATCACTCCCCTCAACCTGAATGCAAAAGGACAAGAAAAACACATCTCATTTCTCACTGAGTTTTCTCTGTGAGGCTCCTCACCATTCTCCTTGCTCGTGAGAGATTCAAAGACTGTGGGGAGCTTTTAAAATAATTTTATATGCTTTGGTATGCTTTAATTTCAGATTGCTGCCTGTGCAGTAACTCCCTAAATGTTCCAAAAGGTCTCAGCATTGATTTTGCTTTGTTGATGCCTGATGGAAAGCTCTACCTTTTATGCAAGAAAAAACACTGTGAGAAATCAATGGGATTGTAACTGTGCTGTGCAGATTATCTCCACCTCTCATCTCAGTAATTCATTCTTACCTTTTCTGTTTTCTCAGAAATAAATAAATCTTTCCCAATTAGTTTCCAAGATTTATTCAATGTGTGAATTCAGTGTATTACTACTTTAGAGTATTACTGTTATTGATTACTCTGTAAATCAAACCTTCTCTACTCATTTTTATTACATACAACACCAAGAAAATTATAAGCCAGTGTAGGTTAAAAACTAGAAGCCTAGAAATTCAGACCTTACATTTAAGTAATCTTATAGAAATTGTGTCAATAGCATTTAAGAAAACACAAATGATTGGTTTTTCCTCCACTGGAGATACTAAAGCAGAAAGAAACTGAAAAAGTCAGTCTTGTGCTAAGATTTGGTATGACAAGTTTAAACCTCAAATTACTGTATTCTTAATGTCCAAATTGCAAATCCATGGGGCAAAAAGTCATAGTATTTCTAGATGCTGCTAAAAAATGAAAGGCCTTTTTCAGTTACAGAAATTCACTGTGAATTATGGCTTGATTGTATCTTGCCATAATAGTTTTTTATATGTGGAACCTTATTTTAGATAACTGCATAAATTAGAGCATCTTAGAAACTCCTCAGAATTACTTTGACTTTTTCCTTAACTGGGAAACCAGTCAAAGCTATGGATCAATCTCACATATATTGATTATAATTTCCTTTAGACATCTCAGTAATTATAAAAAGGATAATGATGACAACACCCCCTGGTAGGAGTAAGTATTTGAATTAAATCAAGGAGTTGAGTGATATAGCTGATCAAGGTTACTGCACCTGCAGATTATGTTGAGGGAAAGCTAGACAAAGAGAAAAATACGGTATTTTAAAATAATGAATATTTTTACTATTTTTTTCATTCTCATAACAAAAATTTTATTGCCCCATCTCTCGTCGCTCTCTGAGAATTTTCCCTCAAAATGGTGTCTCAACTATTTCAGGGAGCAGAGCACAACCTAGGCATGGAGATGAACTGTTCTCACTGGGGAATGAACTAAGTGAACAGAGAGCTAACGTTATAAATCAAAGGGAATCCTTACCTCTAGCTAGAAAAACAGCTGCTTTATTTATTACCACTCTTTACTACTACATTATTCAACATGGAAACTGCAGAAAAAGACATGTCATTAATACACATTCTTGTTGACCTTTGGAGAATTCATATTTGTGCGACTCAGTGGTTTCAGCATGGGTTGAATAAAACAGAAAAGTGAGCTCCATCAGGCATTTCAGATGAGGTTTTCATAGTGAGAGACCTACTGCTTGTAGGAACTGCCTATGTAAGTGTGAAAGAAAGAAATTAGTCACCTGCATTCTTACTTCAGCCTCTCCCAGGCAAGATAAGAATATTCAGTGACTATTGAGGTACACAAGCGTCCCTCACTATGGCCACTGGCTACCAATGGCACGGTGAGACTGGGTCACTCAGCAAACCAAAAGTTACCATGTCCATTTAAAACTCATGCTGACATCTGGGGAGAGAATGTAGAGCCGTGGTGGCCACAGACTGGGAAAGGCTACCTGACAAACTCAACACCAGCCAAGGTGACTCACACCACTCCCATCAGTTCAAGCCAGACTGTAGCATTTTCTAGAGCACAGAGAGAATGCAGCCAGCCTATATCTCTCAGAAGTCTCCTCAGCTACTTTGACACCTTCTCCTCATAGATCTCATTCTCAGAGGCTCCAGCTCCTGGCTGCAATTCCAGATATAGTGCTCTGTATACCAACCATTTTGATTTTGTCCCCTCTGTGGGGCCCAATCCATATAATACAGTGCTGAAAAACATTATCATCACAATTATGCAAAATATACATACAAGCTCTGACATAAAACTGCAGAACACACACAGAATGTGGCTTTACTAATTGTATGTGGCTAGAACACAAATTTTTTTCCTAGGAGTGGGAAGAGGAAAGTAACAGAGTCCTCACACCCACTCTGCATATTTCTGTTTTGTTTCTGATTTGGTGCAAATTAATGAATATTAGATTGATTCCAGTCCTCAGGAAATTTTTATTAAAAAACTATAAAAACCAGACAAAGTGAAAAATTCCATTTTCTGTTTGCTTACCTGGAATACCGCGGTGAGCAGGTTTCCTATTCAACTGGGTGACTTTTTGGTATGTTTTTTGCAGGTTTTTTGGTTTGGCTTTGGTTTTGGCAAACAAGTAGTCTTCAGTGTTTTTACAGCAGTGGTTATTACAGAAACTATGTCTCTTGCACTTCTTATCTTGGAGGGTGGACAAAATAAACAAACTGAAAATAACACTACAATGAACAGTAAATGATGAATGACTTACAGTACAAAAAACAGTGTAAAAAGGAAGACAAGTTTAAATATTGTTGTGTATGAAAGGGATGAAAATAATACAAGGATGAGAATAAGTAAAATGATAGGCTGGAACATCTGGGAAAGTAAATACAAAGACAAAGAGAACAGTCAATTAATGGAATAGCAAGTCCAAAGTTTCAACAAAATAAATAGTGAATCAGACTATGCTTGTGGAGGGACCAAGTGCCCATCTCCCATTTACTTCAGTAGGAGTTCTGCATGGTCAAGCCTTGAAATGTCTAATTGTCAAATGTTCAATTGTTGTTATTTGTTTAGAAAAAAATTTAATTAGTTTGTTTTAAATTTGTGTAAGTCCATGCAGTACTCTCCCTTTCAGCTCATGGGAGGTCTACAAGCTCAGAACTACTGCTAGATCAGAAAATGAGCATGCTAAATGCCATCTCTGTTTGATTTCATGCAATACATGTATAGTAATTGATTAGCTTTAAACTCACTGCGTCTGTGACTTTCTGATACAAGGAAACAAAAGACTAATTAGTCACCATAGGAATAAGAATAGCTTTCAGCTTCACCTTGCAACTACTTCGACTGTAAACTAGCAAGACAGCACAAAGTAAATTAACACAGCAAGAGACTTACAAAACATTTGATAACTTCATTAGCAATAACAAGATATGCCAACTATAATATTGCATGATAAGATAAAGGTAGGTAATTTTCATTTTTCATGGCAAAAGATCTTGAGTCAGCAAGGAGTTTGCTCCCCAAAACCTCTCTGAAATAATTCTGCACAAAAACAAACCACAACAAAGATGGTTGTTACTGCTGCATGCAAGCAATGATTAACAGGCCTTCAACAAGATGCAATCTATTACAGCAATTACAATATTCACATTACTGTGTGGCTCTGTGACTTCATAAAATAGATTTGCATCGTTTATTTTATCTGTGGTTTGCCATATTCTCTACAATTTTTGAAATTCAGTATTTCTTCCTGTTGAAAATTAATAAAATTTTCCTTTTATTTATTTATTTAATAGGAACCCCTCCACTCACTAAGAAAACAATCATGTCCATTTATGAATCATGTTCATATGTCCCAAAAATACTGTTCGCACTGCCTTTAGTGGCAATGAAGGCCCAACTTTGTCAAATGCAATTGCAAAGCCAGAAAGGAGTAAAATGTTCTACCTCCTAGAGCATAATTTTAATTTCCAGGAGACCAGATTTATTCCATGTTTACAAACAAACCTATTGGTAGAATATGTTTCCATATGGCCAAATTAGCATTTTTAGTAATATAAGAAACAGTGATTTTTGTCCACTGTCTCGAATAAAGAATTTTCTTTTTGTGCCAAAAATCCAATTTGAGGCTTAATTTGCTTGGCAGAGCCTTTTTACCTGTAGGCCGTAATAAGTAAAAGTCTACCTGACTCACTGACAAAGGTTCATCGGCACTTCGATCGTCCGAAGACTTTGGGACTTCGAGCCTGTCGATGAAAGCCTGGAGCTCTTTCCTGAAGGCCTTCATCTGCGCATTGATCCGGTACAGGAGCTCGTGCTCGCGTATCCTGCTGCCATCGTCCTCCTCGTCCATCAGTCCAAAGAGGTCCCCATTAGCCACGTAAATTCTTGCCTCCGTGATGATGGTGCTCGTGTCGGAAATTAAGCGATCTATTGTCTTGCCCAGCCGCTCCGCTTCAGAGCGAATGTCCTTCATCTGCTGCCTGTCAGTGAAGCTTTTCTGCCACCCAGACGGCGTTGGATAAAAAGACCTCGTGGGTGTCAGGCACCGAATGTTGCGCACCTCTTCGGAGTCACTCTCCCCACCAATGGGACCTTCCCTTTTGCGGTGAGGGGGGCGGGAATCATCATCGCTCTCCTTTTTTCCGGCGTCGCTTTCTGCATCGCTGTCTCTAGGGCTGCCACGGATGCCAAGATGAGAGGCCAAGTCATAACGCTGCATGTTGGACATTAAAACTCTGTTCTCATACTGGAGCTGCATGACTTTGCCACTCAGCTCATTGATCTGCATTCGTGCAGCTTTTAGTTCCTCCTGTAACGCTTCCGTCTTGGCATTATCATGGTGCCTAGAGCTCTCATGGGCCCCGGACTTGTACTTGTATTTGTTCAGCTCAGCTGTTATGCGTTTGTTTTGTTCTTCTAAATCAGCTACATTTCTCCTCAGCAATTCTGTTTCATCTTCTACTAGCTGCAAATGCTGTCGTAATTCTGACAGGGATTCATTCTGCTCTCCCAGGAGTGGGTTAGTGGTCCCTGAGAAATCATCTCCTCTTAAATCATCAAGCTCTGCTTTCAGTCCTCTGTTTTCTACTTCTAGTTCCACTATTTTCCTCCCAAGAATGTTAGCTTCCTCCTCCACAAGCCTCAGTCGAAGCTTGAGTTCAGCCTCTCTTGTGGTAGGTGGCCCACCTGCTTCACCTTTTGGCAAGGGACTGTCTAAATCCCCATAAAATGATCTGTATTTTTGCAGCTCGTGTTCAAATCTGTCTTTCTCTTTATCAATTTTAGCCATTTTCTTCCTCATCAAGGCTGCTTCTTCTTTGACAAACTGTAGCTGGCATTTCAGGTCTTCATTGTCATCCTTAGGAAAAAAAAGCAGTATTTGAAGAAACTTGAAGTCAAACAGGAGACCTCCAGTAGACTGCCTTAACTTACAAGATTTACAATCATATGTACATGGCTTTAGATACTAAGATATTTTCCTGCAATATTTTTTTCACTGATCAATACATTAAAAAGAGGGGAAAATGTTATTTTTCTTGTGACTAAAATTTGCACAGTTCCCAAAAGTACCTTGGGGGGGTAGGAAAAGGGGAGCTTGTAAAAAACCTTGTATTTTCTATGCTTGCAACATTATCAGAGTTTACAGTGTTCAAAAATCCTGAAGTCAGCAAAAATAGAGCCTATAAATCTTGTTTCACTGCTGCTGCCATTTACTTTGCCTAAAATACAGAGTAGGTGAAAGTTGGTGGGTTCTGTTGCAGCACCACATTTGTTTAGGTGGTTCTTGAGATTAGTGGTGTCTGACTGCAGATCTGGGGTAAGAGCTCTTCCATTTCACAGCATACAGAAAAACAAAGGGCAAAGCTAATAAGCAAGCCAAGTGCAAATATGTAAATCATGTACCCCATTTCCATAGTTCCCTGAAGTCTCCACATAAGAATCAAGGTTACAGTTAGTGCAACATACCTCTGTTGGTGTCTGCTGTGACTTTTTTTCTGATTTTGGCAGGTCTTTGCTTCCTCTCCTTTTCAGTGATTGCTGCAATTGCAACAAAAGGACATGCACTGAATTTTTCTAAAGGTATACTTAAAATGTATATAATTTGTGTATCATTAATTTTTAAATATAGCAAATCAAATGCAATTATAAAGGAATTAATTTCTTGTCATTTTTGAGATACCAAATACAGAGGAAAGATGCCATTGCTCAAAAATGAAACAGCAATGGCACACAAATAAGGTTTTTGTTTAATCAGGTTTTAGTTTAATCAGTCTGTTCCCTTTTTCATTCAACACATTTTAAGACAAGTGCATTACAAATGTTTAACACTCAACAAGAGTGGTAAGAACACAGGCATCCCAAGTGGCAACTTACAGATGGGAAAGCTGAGACAAGCAGTAAAACCCAGCTTGCCCATTTGATATTAACCCTGGTGGGGGCCAAGGCACTTCAAAGAAGCCTTAGTCTTAGACTTCGTGGTAGGAAAGCTACATAAAACAGTGTCACTGAGATCTGCAGCTGACTCCAGTGTACATCTACAAGCACACCTTTCTCTGTAGTGCAGTCACACCTCTCTTAAGTGTACTCTGGGGACAAACTCACACATAGCTCTGGTCACTAGGCTTGTTCTATTTTCAGATCATAGTCTAGTAAATGCCATTTAAAACTCCTTGGACTACAAAGTTCTAAAGAGAAACAAATTCTACCAACTCAAGAACAGAAACACACAAAACACACAAACACAGGTCTGTCTGCACCACCATATTCTTTGGTGTCCTCTCATCTGCTATGTATCAGAAAGTAGAAAAGAAACTCCTACTTTCAGAGATGGATGCACTAGGTTTGAAGTCAGCTAGTGTATCCAGCAAAAATCTTGTAGCTGCTGACAGTAGAAACTTCATTATGGAAAAGCAGCAACAGTGGAAAACAAGTGCCACCATCCCACTGGCAACACTCAAACTGATCACCAAGAAAACAGCAGGAGAGAGGCAAGTGAATGAGAGAATATGTTAATACATAACACCCCACTTCCAGCTGTTCCCAGTTTCTGTGTTCCCCAGGTAATCTGTAGGCCCCAAGGCAGGACAGTGATATAACCAACACCATCTCCCTCTGAGACTGTGCTCTGGTAGAAAGATCCTTTGAGAAACATGCACTTGCCTCCATCAGCTGGGAGAGAATCTAGTTCTATCTAAAAGCCATCCACACAGTGGGAATTAAAATATGTTCATAATCCTCAAGATACAGTACAGTGGGTGGGTATGCTGCACATAACAATCCTGTGCACCATTTGCCTGCTGGTACTAATCATGCTCTTTTTTCTGCAGATCAACTTTGTTAAAATTTCCTATAGGCATAGACTGCTCATTCAAAAGAAAAAGTTAATGACATAGAAATACTCACATGCAAATCAAATTTTTATGTCTCTTGCAGTAGACCAAACAAAAAAACAAATCAAAGATCATGGCTAGATAGCTGGATAGCTGTAAAACACAGGCTTCTAATGGAATCCAGAAATGACATGGAAATATTTCAATTAACTCATTTTTCCCTTCAAGTATAAACCCCGCAACTTTGGGATCCAGACTACAAACAAAATGGTGCTTTTCCACAGTCACCCACAAGTTATCTTGTTGTAGAAATGGTACCTGGATTTTTGAAAGTGTTATCTTATTGCTTTCTTTTAGAATTGGTAAATTTATGAAGCCCTAAACTTTCAAATGAGTAGGTTCCTCCTCTGTATTACCATTAATTATACCACTATGTATCACCACTTTGAAAAAATCCTTTCAAATCAGTTTACACTGCAAACTTTTCCATGCCCCTTAATTATGCCAATACCACCCACTGATAATAATAATATTAAATAAATAAATAAAAAGTTATAGTTAACCTATATTTCTGCTTTATTACCTAAATGCCTTTTGCTCACCCTGTTGAGCTCAGCCTCTCTCCAGAAATAATGAAGTTCTGGAATGCTGAGCTGAGACTTCTTTTGTAACCTATGACTTTTCAGAAAATAAGACATTTAAGAAAAAGTACTTTTCTAGGTTTGATGTGAAACAAAAACCTCCTTGGTTTTCTCCTTTCTTGCTTTTTTTGGTGTTCCTTTTAGTTAGTCAGGATAGCAACATTCTAATTACAATAGTAGTTGTGGCTATGTAATGATTAGGCACTACTTTCTATTCTGCTCTACTTGAATTACAACCAACCCTCCAGAGCTTGTATTGTTCATCAACAAAATCCCAGCACTTAGCAAAAATTTCATAGCAGAAAGCAATGAAGAACATGCACAATTCAATTAGAGGGATGATGTGGGTAAGCAGATTAGGCCCAGCTGGAACTGGTATGAGCTCTTTTCATATGAAAAACACCATGACAAAATTTCTGATCACTAGAGGTTAAGATCTCACAAATCTCAGCTGACGGATAATATCCTCACAATCACAGTGTCCCACAATATATATCATGGCAGGGTACTGAGGCAATATCACACTAAAAAAAGAATGCCACATATCAAGAAGTATATTCTGCTATAAATATTAAATTTTTGCTATAAATACTAAAATTTTCAGTTTCTTCCAGATGTGTATATCACAATTTACAGTGGCTACTCTTTCTATCAATTCTCTCAAGCCTTGTACTACTGCAGTCTTCCAGTTCAATTTTCAATATGAAAAAAATAATTATTGCTGCTAATGAAATAAGCAATGAAATTCATCACAGCAAAATGAAAAAAGAAAAAAAATGTTCAAACTAACATATGGCAGAACCAAAAAACAGCAACTCAGATCCCTGCATGCAAATCTTCATACTAAACCGAGACAGGACATTACTAAAATTGTCTGCACATTGCTTGTCACTAAAAGCCACCTCTGCTGCTTTCTCAACTGTAGCAAAAAAACTGCCCTTCATATGCTACAATTGGTTTTGAGAGTTTGTTATGAAGGACAGTCTGTGGTCTCATAGAAATTTTTTTCCATATAATTAAACTAATCCTACTCACAAATGTCTATAGCCTTGATAAGGCTGCAGATAATGTTTGTATTTGATGCAAACCAGATCACATGCAAAGGGGAATTCTGTTGTGGTGCTCAGCAGCATCAATTCTCCAGTGACCTTCACTGGAGTTTGTCCAATGTCTTGCTGGAGATGCTAAGCACTTCTCAAGATGGCATCATCCTTCTCTTGCCAGCCCTAAATTGCAAGCCAAATGTGCAGTCCTAACATCACCTGTAATGCTCAATGCTTCTCAGGTGGAAAGGGACCTGAAATCTACTCTGAGATTTCACACAATACACAGATAATTGCATCACACTCCATAGAGGAAGAAAGCTATAATATGAACTCAAATTTTTCCTACCTGGTTCTAACATAAAATAAATATCTCAGCAATTAATAAAGAATCCTTAAGCAAAACCTACCAAGATATCCATCTTCGCAGAACAGGGCGAAGAGTGTACAGCTCCTTGAATCTCCACAGCTACCACAAACCTTCTCATCTGCACAAAACTGTGCTGTACTTAGCTATGGTTAGCTGACTCCCAACTGCTGTGACACATCTGCAGAGCTTTCAAAAATCAGAGTAAACCTAACACCACCTTTACAGTCTTGAAAAGTCAATGAATATTGAACAATTTTTTGGCTGCACAAACTTGCCTCTGTGTGGCACAGAGTGACTATGACCAGGGAAATGTAAATTTGCCCTAAGCCTCTCTCTGCATTTCCTCTTTAATCAATATGGCTGTGTAACCCATGGAGCTGGATCAAATCAGACACAAGACAGATTATTTTTTGCTTTCTGCCACTGGTTCTAATGTAGTAAAAACTAAATTGACACTACCTATGTTGGAAAATTGCAAGTTTATAGTCTCCATCAAAAAAATATAATCTTTGTTTTTAAAATGTCTTCCTTACTCTGCAACTTTTAGTGCAATTTGCCAGCAATTTGTCAGCTCAAGACCCTGGTTTTGTCTGTCATTGTCACAATTACATAGAATAATACAATACTTTACTCCTTCCATCACCATTCAAGAACAGAAGTCTGGAGTATTTCTATATTCTACTTGCTTGCAAAATTAAGTCACAAATGAAAAAGCAGAGGATAACTGAGATGCAAAAACCACAGCCTACCTGTCCACAAAGAAAACACAAAGCATATCCCTATTAGCTGTACCAACATTTTCTTCATATTTAAACTGGTATATTTCAGAACACTGCTGAGGAGCAATACAAAATGAAAACAATCTTTACTACTTTACTACAGAGAGAAAAACAGTTCTCATGTAGTTGAATGACTTCATATTGTAGAAAAGAGGAGCTGACCCCCAATATTTGTATTATTCCATTTGCATTTATTTAGGAGTTATTTCAGTTATCACTTTCAGATAATTTACCATTATTTATATAACAATTAAATACGAAAAAGTACAAAAGAAGGGGAAAATATATGCAATATTTGCACTTTATATAAAGAAACCTTTTGCAATTTGAACTAAAATCACATTGTTAGAGCGTATCATAGTAACTCTTGTGGTATAGCTGGGTAAAAGCATCCTTTGCAGTGCATAACTGAAGCAGCATATTTATGCTTCCATTATATTTGCTTCCTTCTTTTCTTTATTCAAAAAAATTACAGAAGATGAAAGCCTCCTTTTCAAAGCTCTCACTACATCCTGGTCAAATAGCTGTCCAAACTGATACTTTGCTTTCTGTGATTACACACTCCTTCATCCACCAGGATATCATAAAACAGTGAAAACAATTTCTCTAAGGAGTAAGAGGTTTTCTGCCATTTGAACCTTTCAAAACATGGAAGAGCTAGACATGGTTACTTCCCCAATGCTATCCTACTAGGCTTTGTTATAGATGCAGAAATCACAATCATCTTACACTTGGCTCCCTAATCCTGAAATGCAAAAGAAGATCTCAGAACATCATGAATAGTTTGAAGTGCAAGTGCAGGAACAAGTCGTTGCATTGTATATTGATGCTAGTTAAACTTTTCCTAGGGCTCCCTTAGCTGGTGCTTATTTTCC